ATTCTTATACCGGATCGATGGATCGACGATCCGGATATGTGCTGCAAAAATGCGCCCGACGGCAGGCTCTTTTGAAACGGTGTCTTTATCTGGCGGATTATTGGTGATGGTTATACGAATGTCTGGCCGGAAGATGCCTACACTTTCACAAATAACCTGTTTGCCTTTACGAACGTCTTTCCAATGTAACCCCGAGATCTCGATCTCCGGCACGGTAATATCCAGCAGTACATGCGGGCCGCGGCCTTCGCGTTGCATGCGGCTAAGGACAGCGGAATCGGGCCTCATATGCACCCCATGCAATGAAAAGCTCCTCCGGTAAATATTGATACTGAAATTTTCGGCCGTGATCCGGTAAAGACTGTCGGTAGCCTTCGCTGCGATAACCGGCAGCCGGGCAAATACAATATGCTTGTAATGCAAAGTAAGGTACAGCAAGATACCTCCACCAATAACCAGTAGGCTAAACAATACAATGCCTGCGATCTTAAGACCGCGATATTTTCCGGATCTTGCCATTTTGCTCACGACAGGTTTTTGAAAGGTAAATGCTTCCGGCGAAATTGCCAATGAAGATGATCATAAATACCGGACCTGGGGTTGTAATTGTATAGACAACGCAAGAGGCATTTACCCTATTGTGCCGGGGTTGTCACGGCAATCACTGAATCCGCGTATCTTGCAGCGTTTTCCAACCACTAGATTTAATACCAAATGTTCCGTACACATACCTGTGGCGAATTACGCCTTGCTCACGAAGGTACTGAAGTAAGGCTTGCCGGCTGGGTGCAGGCTATCCGCAAAATGGGCAGCATCTCTTTTGTAACGCTGCGCGACCGTTATGGCATTACCCAGCTTTATTTTAATGAAGCGCTCAACGCCCGCCTCGATGAAACACCGCTGGGCCGCGAATTTGTACTGGAAGTATATGGGCTTGTTCGTGAGCGTCAAAGCAAGAACGCCAATATGGAGACCGGGGATATTGAGATCCTGGTTGATAATTTTAAAATATTGAACAGTGCAGCAACGCCGCCCTTTACCATCGAAGAAAATACGGATGGTGGTGAAGACCTGCGTATGAAATTCCGCTACCTGGATCTGCGCAGACCG